GTCTATACTCAAGAGACGAAAGGAAGAGCGGTACGAGCGTCTTTCCCTCTACGGGTGTTGAGATATCAACCGATCGCGCAAAACGCACACTTACAGTGGACCCATTCTCTAGCCATGGTGGAATTGTCATTGGTAAGGCTCATCCATGCTTTGGGATAATGACATGAAGTCGCAGAAGGACGCACGCAAAGTAGCCATTAGCATTGGCTAAAACCGCCCGATGCCTGAAATGTCTGTTCGCGAGCAGCTTATTGGTTCTCCCGGCAATCTTGTACATCATTGGCTACGGTAGTTCCGTTGCACATGAACGCTTACAAGGCAGTCGATATGGTTCCAGTCTCTGCACGTGAAGTGTGTCCACAAAAACGTAGAGGTCTTACCAATGCCATGACGAATGGGTGACCAGTATATCACCCCTTGCCGAATGTCCATTGGCTCTTTGCATATTGAAGTATATAAGCTGCACGCTTGAACCTTACCTTAATTCCTTTCGGCAGAAGCACCGGTTGCACTTGTTCCTTTGTTTTGTTTTCTTTCCTTGACGCTGCTGGCAGTTAAGTCGTTCTCAACAAGTCAAGAATATCTACAGTATCTGCCAGCATGCTACCACAGCCTTTCCATGAATTAGATCATAATGAAACAATGGTGGAAGCGAATCAGGGCGACTTTGAAGCGGAGCACGGGGACGCAAATTCATCGCCTTACCGAAGTGTAAAAAGACGACGACGATTAACGCAGGAGGAGACAAAGACACTCAATTCAGTTTTCGAAGCCACCACAAAGCCCAACTCGCAAGCACGAAAAAAATTGGCAGAAAAGCTCGGCATGACCCCACGAGCAGTGCAGATCTGGTTTCAGAACCGACGAGCAAAGCAGAAGAGAGATACATCGGATGCTGATGGCTTGGATGCACAGGCATACTTGAAGATGGGCATCAGGCTAGGGATTCCTCGTGGGCCATGCCCCGGTCCAGTCGCACATCTTCAGGGAGCAATGCCAAATGACCTAATACCGATCGGACCCTTATCAACTCGACCACCTCATCCTTACCCACATTTGCGAAGAAATTCGGACTTTTACACTCCATCATCCTCTTTTTCAGCGGTACCTGCAGGTCCAGTGTTACCTTATTCCGACAATGGCGCAGGTAAGAGCATTATAGAACGGTAAATCATCCGTCTTACATATCATGCAGTTACAGCTGGTGACCTGAACATTTCAGAAGCTCTAATGACAGCGTATCGAGGTTCATCATCCATGCCTGAATTGGCGAATGCTGCGGCTTTTATTGGAATGAAGGTCGCCAATACTTCGAACAATGGTAAGTGAGGCTGATTAAGAAAGACAGAACAAGACATTGACATTTGTAGCAGGCATCAACGGGAACGGACAAGATCTCTATTCCTTATCGGAGCAGATGGCTTCTTTACAGGCTCAAGTGCTTCAGAACAGCGCCACGCTACCGCTTCAAACCCCTGACGGCATGATGTCCGCTATGCAGGGTGAAAGTGACATATTCAATCCAAGCTTTTGCGATATGTTGTCCGGGGAAATGAGTCTTGAAGAGCAATTCAACATATTCGCTTCCATCAACATGGCTGCCAATGATACTATCCTTTTCGGAGACATGCAGTCTCCTAGCATCATCCAACATCCGCTGAAAACCTTCACCAACCTAGCAAATGTCACTCAGGAACCATTAATCATTCCACAAGTGAGAGAAACTTCCCAAAATGTGACCACAAGAGAACGTGAAGGCACAAGAGACAAAAGAGCGCCTTCCGAATCGGAAACCCTAGCTCACGCCATACAAAATCTCTCCACTGCCACGCCTCCGAACGCGCTTGCTTTGGAGACAACGCCGGCCTCCAAGGTACCACCATTGCCCAACCATAATGCGATGGATACTACTACTTCCATCTCCATGAGCCGAACACCAACGTTGACCCCGGATATGATATCTCAGATACCTCCAGCCCTAATGACATCCGAAGGCCCCTGGTCAGAAGATGAAGACGCTGTTTCGGCCTCCAATTCCGATGTGGAACATGCTGATCTCGTAGCCATCAATAATGCAGCTTTTCTCAACGAACTGAAGCGAACGGATTCCACCGATGAGCTCGGAGAGTTGTTAAGGTTTATGTAATCACTATATACTTGGGAACCTGTTGTAATCCTACAAAAATGCCTCACTTATTGTACATGACGGGTTTAATATCGATTGATCTTGGGATGGGTTTCGTCATTAGGTTTCTCCCGCTATTGGTATCTCAGCTGCTTTCGCAATGCTATCTAACAGATTTCGGGGAGCATCCTCACCCCAGACCTGCAATCGACATTGAGCATGAGGTGCGAGGGTGAGTCAAATGCGTACCTTCACAATAAAATTGCCAATATTTCCGTCGCCAACTTCTACCTTGGCCCTTGGCCCCCATTTCACGGTTGAAGACGTTGGGTTGTGAGCCGTTCTGGCTTCTCTCGTAGAACTGCCTTGTGCCGATTCTTTCTGCTGAGTCAAGTATCCTTGTTTCACCATGGTGGCTATCAATCTGTCCATAGATTCAATTGATCCTCCTGTAAGCGTCGACACAGTGTCGCCCGATAATCCGAGCTTCTCGAGAAGCATGAGCAAAGAATCTACATTTCTGATGTTAGCAAACACATTTTTAAATATGTTCAAGACCTGCCTGTCTCCATCACTCGTCCATGAACATGAATCAAGCTCAACATGGCATATACAAATCCCATATATGTTTCGGTGCCTTTCTGCCACTCGAATATATCGCCCACGTTCTCGCCTATCGGCATCACGTTCCTCAGAATGTACGATTTGGTTGTCTGGCTCTTGGATGCATCTACTCATAAAGTATTAACATGGACAACTTGCGGCTCATCTTCATTTGCATTGACTTACTTGGTCGTCCTTTCAGCGGACCACCGCTCTCCTTCTGAGGTAATTCGGCGAGTTCCATACCAAAAATCTGACGCAGCTTTTCTTGAGCCTTGTCAAAGACGGTATTGTATGCTCGAGATTGATCCCCAAGTACTGAGAGGTCATAGTGTCAATCCTTAGTTAAAGGAGTAAATGAGATTTGATGTCATTATACCTTTTCGTATATCATCCCGCCGCACAACTGAGCGTCGAGCCTCCGAGGCTAGAGCAAGCCGGACAATGCCCTTTATCTTTCTCTTGAGTTCCTAAAGTACAAAGAGAATTAATCGTCTGGAGAAGCGATTAGCAGGCACGCTTACCTCGGTGGTCAAGTCGGCGATAATAGTCGCACGTTGTGAGGTGGAAGCCTGCGTCGCGATCTGCGTCATAGGAAGTTCTTCCTCGTTCTGTTCGTCTTGAGAGTCCTCCTCTTCAGAGATATGTCTCCGTTTCCGCTCCACGTCTTGTTCCTCTTCGTCATCCTGGCATTCGGTGTAAGAAGCACTGCAACACGTAACAAACTCTTTGTAAGCTCACCTGAGTCCTTCTTCGATGTCGTCCAACCTAATGTAGAGCGTCAGTGTCGTGTCGCAGTGCTGCCAGACTCACCATGACACGCCAAGGTGTCGCGTAAAGTATGAAGAATTTCAAAATTGGGTTAACTGCTCTTCATGCCCAAGGCTACTCGCTATACGCCTAGCGATGCCTTTTATGAGGAGGGAGACGCAATCGTGAGGCATGAGTGGGGCGACACGGAGCTTCATGTCAACTCTCATGATTTTTCGCTCTTTGACGGTGTGGGTCAAGGTGAAAGTGAGAGGCAAGTAGGCCAAATCTCAACTGTCTTGGGTCTAGCGCTAACAGTCGTGATAGAAGCAAAGGGAAGCTAGAATGTCATATTGCACCATGCAACCACGATCCGCCGTCTTTTGCTACTCCAGCCGCTTATCAGAGGCACTACGAATGCGTACACAAATATACCTGCAATGAATGCCACCTGGTGTTCCCGGAGAGCAAGTGGCTCAAGCTTCACTTTGAAGAGTATCACGACGTCTTCCTTCAAGTTCGACGTGACAGAGGGGACAAGGTGGTAGGTTGCAATATAAGGTCAAAATAGCATGTTTTGAATGTTTGCCATAGTACAAGTGCTTTGTGGATGATTGCACGCGGGTGTTCACTACGCCCAAGATGCGACGACTGCACCTCATTGACAAACACATGTATCCGCGCTCGTTCAATTTTGTGCTACATCGCACCGGATACACTCCGTACCGGACACGGCGAAGGCAAGTGGAGCGGCATTACAAGGAAAAGAAGTCTATCAATGCTGAGATACCACGTCCTGAAAACGGCAATGGTGCGACGGAGTATCCGCCATTTAGCCATGGTACGGCTGATCATGCATTCAGCTCGCCTCCAATGTCCATGGAAGGTGACATGCAGGACCCAGCAAGTGTTCATTCCCCAACAAACATGCAAGACAGTACCATGGAAGAAGTGACTGAAGGCATAGAACGGCTCTTTATTCCACGTTCCGTTAGCTTTGGAAGGAATGCACGTTCGAACAGCAAGTGAGTCAATTCTATCCTGTTCACTACCGGTCACTGACATCTCGCGCAGATTGAAATGAAAAAAGCATCAAGCTGCTGGTTTTCTATGCTTGGCAGAGCAGATAATTACAAGCGAATGTGAGTCTCAAAGTGATTTGCGATGAGCAGGAATCAACGGCACATCAACGGGCACATCTCCGGTACGGGATATTGCAGTCCATTGTGCCTAATTGGGACGCTTGCCCCAGAAAGAACTGCCTCAGAGCAACCCACGCCACACCCCGTTATAGATGAAGAGACGAGGGAGGGCATTAATGCCGGCTTTACATTCCGAACCAGGCTGTCAATGTGGTAGAAAAGCCAAAGATGGTCAATGTCTCTGCTTTTATCAAGAGCTAGCGTCCCAAAAAGATGTGTAACTGTAATCTACAGAGTTAGAAGAGCCAAAACTCTGATTAGTCCTGCAAAAGATATGTTGACACTTCCAAAAAGCGAAAGAAAGAAATGGCAAAAATACCTGCCTAGGATGGGATTCGAACCCATGCTCCCTTACAGGAATTCGATCTTAAGTCGAACGGCGTAGACCACTGGCCCACCTAGGCATACCCTAGCCCATGAAGGGCATAATCATTTATGAGTGATCTATAATTTGCCCCAGTAGATTCGGTCAGATACGCCATCACATGACTTTAAGCCAATAGTAGGCCGGAAGTCAAATCACGTGATTGCGCCGATTCCTGGACCCGCTGGGAAAGTAAGCTCTGTCACCGAGTGTCGGGACCTTGCTTGAGCTTTTGGAGAAATCCATGCCACACGGCGGTAAAGGCACTCGCAAAGCTAATAAACGCACACCTTCAGAGGACCAAACCGTCGAGAAAGTCAATGCGCACGCGGTTGCGACCATCCGGGGTTGGCACGATGGCGAATTCCGGACGGAAAGTTTGACGCGACTTGACCGGTGGAAGCTGCAAGCATCCGACTCCATCACCGTTCACGCCGGACATGTTGACGTCGAGCTTGGGCAAGACCCGCATTCAGACCTGTTGGGCGGCTATGTTTGGCTGTCGTCGATCGTCTTTTGCTCGTACCTAGCGCAGATTGCCAGTCGGCCCAGCAAGAGTGATTTGATTAAGGTCGAGAACGGCAGCGTGTGGCTGGAACTGGGTGCTGGTGTTGGTCTCATCGGTCTTTTGCTTGCAAAGCTCGGGGTAGGCCAAGTTGTTATAACAGATGTACGAGAACTTGTACAAACCATGCAGCAAAACGTCGAAGCCAATGGCTTCTCCAACGAAGAGGGTTCCGCTATTCTTGCTAGGGAGCTTTTCTGGGGAAATCAAGATCAGATTAACAGGCTGAAGGAACAGTATGAGACTTTCGATTACATTGTCGCCTGCGATTGCATATATTCAGAAGCTAGCGCTTCCGCGCTGGCTCAAACGATGTGGATGCTCGCTTCGACCAAGACGACAATTATCGTCTTGACCGAACTACGTAACAAGGGCGCACAAGACGCGTTTATCAAGGAAGCCGAGCCACTGCTCTATATAGAAACCATACAACCTTCAAGGTGGCAGTCGAAAATAGATCAAGACATTGAGTTTGAGGAGGACTTGGTCATTTACAAGTGCACTCGCAGAGAGTCAAGCAAGGAGCGTTCGCGGAAGCGGTCATGACGAGCAAATTCGACCCCTACCAGAGAAGCGTACATACGATGATCAAGAATGACTTGAGATTATTGTTCATGACAACGATTGAATGTCACCTCGCTGGTACAGACTTATATACAAGTGTATGTTATTGTGAGTATTTAGACTGAATTGGAGGGCAGCAACTGTTCACATCTGCTCTTCTTCGGACATTATGGCAACAGTTACTAAAGCCTCGGCGAATCACGGGAAGTCCGGCCAGAATACCGACGGGTCGGCTGAGACCGCAGTTGAGGCGACATTGGGGCAAAACGCGCACTTTCTTTGTCATCAAAAGAAGCTCCCTGGTATGAGTGCATTTTATGTCGTGCGTTCCGTGGCGAATTTGTGGGTGTTGAACGCGACGTAGTCATGGATACCCGTGACGGGGATTGCGGTATCGCACTGTGTCGAAATGTATAGGCTTGCGCGTATGGATCGTCTTGTAAGAAAGGCACTGGTGGAGGTGGAGATGACATGGGCGCAAAGGATCCAGGTGCGAATTGCGGAGACATGGGGTGTATTTGCACCGGAGAGCTGACTTGGTGATAATCCGACACTGGTTGATAAGCATATTGGACCGGCATTGGCGCCTGGGGAATAATATACACTGGAGGATGGATCTGCGCCGAAGGAGATGGTGGCACGCTGCCGTAGACGAGACTTGTTCCAGATCCATTGTAATAGGGGGGGTAGAAGGAAGTCTCATACTGCAATACATCGTCTTGTTTGGTTGTCATGACATGATCGTTGGGCGTCAATATCACCCCTTCACCGCTGCTACGCGAAGAGAGTGTCGATACCCGGGATACCTTGCGCTCCATGGGCTTGCTGGATTTCTCTTTCGTTGCACTTTTTGATTTTGATTGCCTACCTTTCGGTTCCGCGGCTTCCCGGCCCTTGCCCTTTTGGCGCTCGTCCGCTTCTTCCTGAGAGTTGTCAAGCTCCGCAACATTCTCCTTGTCATTTGTGGTGTCGACAGAACCTTTTGATGCTTGCGAAATAGAATTGGCAGGTGTTACTTCTGGTTCCACCGTTACGACGTCATCTGGCTTAATCTCCACGGTAGGTATTGCTGGAGATTGCATTAGTATCGGCACTGGATGATGATGTGGCATGATTGCTCGGGCTCCAAAAGGCGTGCTCATAGGCAATACTGATGACAACGGCGGAGATGTAGGTACGAGCATTGGTGTTGGCGGTGGCTCATTTACCTGGCGCGGATATCGGACGCTGCCAGCGGCGCTGTGGCTTCTGCGAGCGTAAATTTCCCCGTACATGCTCCCTTCATGACGGGCTTTGCGACCATGATCATGTATCGAGGATGATCGACCTCTCCCTTGAGCGGCTGCCAATATGCCCTCTTGCCGATGCCGGACCTTCATTCTCTCCATATCCAATTCCTGATTTTCTTTACTGAAGGGATTGTTCTTGCCACCTCCCGTCTGCATCCAGCGTTCGACTCTTCTTTTGGATTGGAAAGCAGGATTAAACGGACGTCGTTCTAGGATCGACGTCTGTGGCGGCAGTGAGTGGTTGATATGCGAAATGGACGAGTCTAAGGACGACGAGGCATCCTCCGAGTTCGAATCGGATACATCAGAATCCAATACCTTGGTTCTGTGGGCACATGGTTGATGTTGTTCCTTTTGCGTCGATGGCTTAGCCGTTGATAGGCTGGTAGATGCCGTGGTTGTCTGAAGACTTTCAGGCGCGTAGCTCTTGGGTTCTTGAGTGATTTTTGGAGCATAGATGGAATCTTTGGCATACATTAGCCTTGCAGTGGAGCGATCGATGCCACTCGCTGCCTGTTTCGTATCTGCGAAAGATTCCAAGGAGTTTGAGGTCGTGCCCAATGTGTCGGACAGTTGAAGGGCAAGGGAAATGTCGTTCAGAAACTTGTCTGAGAGTAAATCCATGTCAAGGATCGAGTGAACCGTAGAGCGCAAGTTGAAAACTTACCATCCAGCAGCGAGTCTTCTGTTTTTCTGGTTTCTGTTGCCTCGCCTTGCAAGACCGTGTTCGCGGTCGACGAGTTGGAAGCGCCTGTAGTTTCGCTAAATCCAGCATCGGCAAGAGCTTGATGGGCTCCGCTATCCGAGGTTTCTGCAAAGGACGTGAGGAATTTAGCCGATATAGGTGCTTCGACCATAGCTTGCACCTCCGTCTCCCTTCCATGACTTGATGTATCTGTTCTTGTCACCTGTGGTACTTCAACTCCAAGATACTTTGAGTTCTTGCGCGGAAACTTCAACCAGCCCATGGAAAGGTGTATAGAGCAGCCCAAGCTCTCGTCCCGTTCACCAAGTGTGAGAACAGAAAAGAAATGCAAAGTCAAAGCTGCCACGAGTCATCATTTACACCCATTGCTGGTGTGACAGTGGGCGATCGAACTTCCTAATTTGGTAATAGAACGCGCTGCGTGGCAAGGTTTCAACAGGGAGACCACCTGAATAGCGCACAGCGGGTGACATGATTGCGCGCTGAACAATGGAACTTAGACGCTAATGCACAAGTACAAGGCTATCCACTCCGTCTGGCAATGGGCAGAGATGGAACACATCGATATCCTCTATATAGCGTGCCTAGGCATTACGTCATAGTGTTCGTGGAACAGAAAGATGACAGTTAATTCGTTCAACCGCATTCATCATTCATCTTTACCCCCTATCACAGCATGAAGAGTAGGTAATCGAGAGTATCATATTCAAACAAATATGCAAACTAATTGTGGCAGTCCGCACGCACTCTGGACAGTTCCTCAAGGTCTCGGCGGGCAAGCTAGACGTCGAGAACGATTACTCCAACGATGTCCCTATTGAACAGCGGGAAAACAAGGGTTCGGACTTCTCAGCTGGAAAGCAGTCTGCACCTGGCAGTCAAGGAATACTAGCGGACGGTCAAGGGAAGCCTGTAGTGTTTGAACATGATGGCAAAACATACAAACTCAAATTAGTGACACTTGGTGATGGCGGAGAGCAGGTACGTTATGACCGGGGTTCTTGAGATGGACACAAAGGTGGTAAAGAAGGAAAGCTTATTGATGCACCTAGTATGCTCTCAAAGCCGTGGAAGGTGAATCCAATGACACTGGCCTTTACCTAACCGTTGGGATCCAAAACATCACCCTTGAAAAGGAGCCCACAACAATGTCCGTTTTTAGCGTTCTCTAGGGCACAAATACTATAGACTGAATAAATCGAAATTCATCACAAGCCATGATCTCTACAGATCCTCTTATCAGGATACCTCATTTCACAGCAATGCCTAGCACCGTCATTGGGTGCGATCAAGCGTAGAAAGCTTTGCAAACGAAAACGCGACTTGACTCTGAACAATACACATTCCACCATCCAATGAGCATATAGCAATTGTACCTTCTTTAGGCAGTTGCAATTGGAATGATCACCAATTTCACATTTTGCTAATCTCAGGTGATTACCGCCTACATCTGGACGCTTTGAATTTTCAAGTGTGATTTCGTGCTTCTTGGCACACGGTGGAATTCGTCCAAACCGTTTGCCTCTCAAAAAGTAGAACGTGGAGTCAACACGTGTCTCCAATTGGTCTGTCACTGCTCGGTATGGCTTAGCAAGGTCAACAATCGGCATACGCGAAGCATACCATGAAACTTTTTCCAGATCCAAAGGCAATAAAGATACGAAACAATGAGGCTTAGAGCAGCTATCCACGAATTTGACCCCTCTGTCAGTGCAGACAAAGCATTGCAACGTGGACTGAACGCATTGATGATAACCTAATTTGGGCACCATGATTATGTCCATTGTTGTTGCATCGATTGAGGATCGCTCTGATGAAAATTCACGGGTATGTTGGCGGGGAGAGGCAATTGGCATCGCATGGCCATAGATCCCGTCATGGCAGAGACCATATTCAGCCTACTATAAAATAAGTGC